TTGTTTCTATGTACCACTGGTAGTTGCTTTGATAAAGATGCAGCACCCCTTGTCTCTTACCCACAAGTTACACATTTTTCCAACCAAATCAACCTGAAAATTTATTTAAATTACATCTCGTGCCTATAATATATGCTTGTTACCGAAATGAACCTCAATTAGCTGGCATTCCAGCTCTCATGAAATTAGTTTCTGCTGTCCTATCAAAGCGAAGATCATGATGTTTTTCATCCGGTATATCATACACCTGGTTACTTCTTACATTTCGCTTGTTCACTTGTGACCAGAATGCAACCGGTAAAAATCAGGAACGCCGGAATAACGATGAATTACTAGGGGTATAACAAAAAGTATCAGGAATCTAACAAAAGATGCCTATTATTATTCAGGAATATTTTAGGCTGCTCCTTTCAGCTTATTTCATATTTACGCAACCCAAACAAACTGTCTATAGGTAATCAGGCGATCATTCAAGTAGCTCGGAACCTTCCTATCTGCTTATTCTAAACAGTTTGGTGTAAGAGAAGCTCCTCACGTAAATACAGCATTCTACATGAACGGGTGGACAGAGCCAAATGAAACTGGAGAGCATTCAAATAACAGTACAAAGAGAACCAAATTGCTTGCCAATTCTGATAAAAAATTTAAACTTGAGTCTCAGGTTCATCAATGACTGAGTGGGATGTCACGGAGACGGTCATAAATTCCGGGTTAGTGTCACTTGACCCGAATTACGAAGAAAGAAACCACATTGTTAGAGTAATTGGTCTTCATAAGGTACGAGTTAATTAATGTTGGCTAGGTGGATCGTGCTTTATTCTTAGGCCGTTCAGCCGGACTCAATACACACTAAGGTATGTTTTCTGGCACAAAAAATTCACATTCACCACTATTTGGAAGAAAAGCCTCCGGAAAACAGCTTTTTGCGCACAAAAAAGGTGCGCTTCGGGGTTTATTTAACCGCTTAACATACTGATGCATGATTAACCTCAGCCCTGTCCAAAGTCAAAGCTCTTGTGCAGGGTTAGATGTACGTTGAAGATTTTACACATTCCAAAGGCACTAAACGACTCCAATCTTTCAAATCAATCTTCCCAGTAGTCCATAATATCCAGTTAAGCATTTCCCAGTTACCCTTATTCAAAAATCGAATAAAGTGATCCTTCAATGTTGTGACCGCTGTTTGTCGGTGGCTGATGTTCACAGCCATCATGAAGGTCATGCCGGATTGAATTCAATTCTGTTGGTTCGCAAAATTTTACCCAGCTGCTATGTTGATAACCCCTCCTAAGTATCACCAAGTGTAATTTTTTTCAACTTTCTGGATGATGCACATTGCGCCAGGTATCACTTAACATGGGGGAAATCAGTAAACATTTTGATATTGCTGTTCAGAAGGTTTTCACAAGCCCGCTTATTCTCCGCGGGATATGGCGCTCGATGGACACTGAAAATTGTTCTCAATCGATTTTTGTACAGTCGCCTCGCGAACCACTTGATTATTTGTATGTACGTTAAAAAAATCCGCTTCGGAAATAATACCGAATTGAATCTTGCTCCTCCATAGACGCAAGAGGTTATCGCGCAAATGCGAGGATTTGACACAGTAAAACGATCACCCAATCTGAATGGGAAATAGTCATTAAAGTGAGGCTGTGTCTGGTTTTTGGTGCATTGAGACAATGCAGCGTGGAGCACTCAGACAGGAGACCTGTGCCAATGGGTCGTGAGATTCCTTGGTACATAGTATTTCCTTATTCTGTTCATTGGCTAGACTAAACAGGTATCGGTAGTTTGCATGGCCCCAGAGTTCTCGATTGTTCCACTGTATTACCGATCTACTGTGGATGAGTCAGAAATTTTTTAGCGTGCTGGTAATAACTTGTGTTGAACTAATGAGCACGCGGTAGCAATTAAACAACTGAATAGGGCAAATATGGATATGGGATTTGACACAATATTTCACACAAAAAGCGTGATTGTTCAACAGGCTGTGCGCCAGCCTACGCTGTATCTCCTGCCTTTAAACACATAGAAGGTTATAGAAGTACATTTGGTGACTATCCGGTTGGCCAGAATTTGTGCTTATTCACTTACTTCCCATGGTGCACCATCCTTTCAGCACACCGTGTTCAGACTCCATTCAAGGCTGGATCAATGTTGAATTTAGTAAGTCGAACGGTCTAGAACCCAAACTGCAGAATGTTCCATTGAAAACCTACCCTGATGGCACAGTGTGAGCCTAATTTAGATACATTTGAGTGGATGCTCGTAAACCCGGTAGGTCCTGCACCCATGGACAAAGCCGGGTGCTGCTGCTTCACTGCATCTACAGTTTAGGTGACATTCGAAAACGGCCATGAGTGACATAGGCGGATGGGCAAATGGCCAGTGTCGCAAAATTCGAAAGTGGAGATATAGTGATCAAGTGTCTTGCGGCGTCAACCCTATTCTGATTGGCTGAAACGATATGGCGGAAACATTAAAAACTGGTAACAAGGTGGATTTGAGCAAGGATTTATCCTTTGTATGTCCGTACTGGTTTTTATGCCATCTCAACAGAGGACCCCTATGGCCTTGAGACATCAATAGCCCGGTCCAGACCACAAGACGCTGACTCTGGAAGAATTCGAATTGGCGGCGAATGGCAAGTTTTGCCCCATAAATATGACTTATCAATAGCCGGTCCAGACCACAAGACGCTGACTCTGGAAGAATTCGAATTGGCGGCGAATGGCAAGTTTTGCCCCATAAATATGACTTAAATTGAAACCCACTTCTTCGGCAACGGTCTTCACTGAATTTCTCCAGGGCTCTGTTTTTGGCCCAGTCATGCTTCAGAATTTAAGTCGATGTCTACTGTCCGAGGATGATTCGGAATCCTGGGGTTACGACGCCAGCGAACTCTAAACAGGTGTGGATGCTCCAAAGAGGTGCTCTGCAAACTGCATGGTAAGAATGGCCTGGAAGACACTACTGGATGGATACAAAAAATGCATTCAGGCATGTGGCTCTCTTCAAATATGTCCTCATTACACCATGGAAAGTCGGCCCAGTAGGCACTATCCCACCTTCTCCCGTGTTATTCGCATGGACTTCCAGATGTCCTATGAGGCCTACCTCAGCCTGTTTCTTGATTATGCTGACTAGTTTGGCAAATAAAGACACGAAAAATACACAGACCTCAGTGAGTGTGTCCAACGAGCTGCTATAAAAAGTTTGCCATCCATAAATATGTTTACTATGAAGCGATTTCCATGGTGTTGAAGCTCTTTCCTCTGGAGAGTCATCGCCCCTGGGGTGCCCTGATACTTACGCATTGTTTGAAAAGGGCTATACCAGCAGGTTTTTCTTACGATAAACCCAACTTATACACGACACGCTACAGTAAGGGGACTTTCAAACTCAGCGCAGACAATTACTGGACGACAACTTTTTTACTGAAGATATTTAGTGTGTGAAATGACCTTCCTCTGACGGTTATTCCCGGTGCACCTAGTGGTCATTTCTAGACATTTTCCGACGCTTTTCATGGAGTCCCCGGGCTGGCAAGCATATTGCCCCTTGGTGAGAATGAGAAATGCAGTGCCATACCCTTTTTCCAGTTCCTTTCAGGGAACAGAAGCCGCTGAATGACAGTTATAAACTCCTCCCGGGAGAGGTATGCGAAGGCCTCGATTCTGTATGTCTCTATGTGCATCAACCCGCGAATGCGGCCCTTTTGTTCCTCTTAGGTTGGTCGCTCTGTGGATGCAGAGGCCCTCTGATCCTTAGCCGCCAGATATGCTATTCTCCAAAACCTTTGTATATTGAATGAAAATCACTTCGTAAAAATGTTGCTTTATGTACGCTCAAAACAGAACCATACATGGTCTGCCTTCGATTTATTGGAATTTGTTGTGATTAGCCCATGTTCTTAATTTGTATCGCACATTGAAATTTACACCTGCAGTGCTGTCTTTAGATGCGTTTACGTCTGACGAGGTGCCACGCCCGTCCTGAACCTGAGGTGGTATGCCACAAAAACTTACATCAAAAACTAGTTTCCTGATTCAATTGTTGCGGAGAATTTCTTATTTGAAAGTTTGGCACAGCCCGCTTTTGAGCTGAGTCTTCATACATCTTGGCCATAAATGTCACTGTTTGACAAATGAACCGTGATTTCCAGGTGTGATCCCACAATAAAAGTGAGTATTCTGGTTAACCATTGTTAGTGGATATTGATCCGGTTTATCTTGTTTCAGCTCCCGCCGGTACATGGTATGTGAACCGTTCTCTTGGCGATAGACATCAAGACAATACATGTAAGCATACAGAGGCCCAAAATGCACACTCAAATCCTTTCAACATGTAAAACGGGTCCACTTGGTACAGGAACCCGCATTATTACACGTAATGTATTGTCCGTGCGTGGTGGGGGCCACTAGTGCCAGTTTATTCCTTCGTTATTGGGGAATCATGCATTTTAAGTAAGTCTTGCATTTCTTGAAGCCTGATCCTCAGTAGGGTGAGCAGTCCGCTAAGATCGATAAAGATTATGTTTAGCCAGTCGAATATGCATCGCGGACTCTAGCAGCATGTTATTTGTGTGTGTCAGCTTGAATCCTATCGCCTTTATATGCAAGCAACTACAGCCTTCTTCAGTGGGCTGGTAGGTGTTATGATGAGCGGCTCGCTGTGTACATCTCTAGTCGCATTTACTTGGTGACTTCTCCGATCCTTCCATGTAAAGCCCGGTAAGTTTTGCCACAACTCTGCTTTCAATAAACAGGACCCGAAAACTTCCACATTGATATCAAGCAGAGCATTAAGAAATTCAACACCAGACTTAGCTCATAATTATCTGAGAGGCATCCGTTCTTCCTCACTGGGACCAGTTAATCCCGAGATCTGGAAACATAAGATTCGGCACCTGTCCAGTCACGAATTTGCGGATTGACACACAGGATCGAGATTTTCGCCCAAGTTTCGCGGATTTCTTTTTTGTTCTTCTCGTTCAGCAGCTGCCGTTCAACTGAAAGGCACAAGCGAAAAAGCGGGTATCGCTGCTCTTCAAGTTCTCAGCGCGGAGTAGTAAGCTTTTAGGCACCAGGGCTTGCATAAAAGTGTCTAATATTGTTTTGACTTGGATTCTGGATGGAGCGTGGACAACCGTCGGACAAAAGTAATTTCGCCCAGCGAAATCAATGAGAGCATTCCCTCTGAACTTGAAAATCCTACCGTATTTTCCCGTGTGGCCCATGGTGAAAAACACGTTGACGGAACCTTATCCAAACAGGATATAAGTAGGAAGTAGGTCTTCAAGGAGGCGAAGATATTCCAGGGGTGTGAGGTTTAGCACCGCGGGAAGCGTTTCACATTTTACAGACTTTAGGCCGGCAACTTTTTTCGAAGTACATTGGACACGTTTATTGGAGGTTATTTCCTTCGTGTTTCCTGAATAGTAAACTTGATTAGCCTATTCAAGAAGCGGTCTGACATAGGCCGCATAGCGTATTTGGACGTCCATGCAGTTATTACGGGAGAAAGTGCGCCGAAGCATCCATAGAACAGCAAATGTCTTCTGAGAAGATTCCTGATGGTGCATTTGGAAAGCCATGTATAAAGAGGGCCCGATACCCATAATCTATCTCCGTAATGTTTCACGGTCCATTTTTGCCACGAACGACATAGAAGTTCGCAGAGTTCCCTTCGAATGACAAACTGATGCATGTTTCGTCATTCAGAGGTGCCAGTCTGTAGTGTCTGTAATCCGTTATCACATTTACCATTCTTCCTAAACTTGAGCCACACTTTGTAACTGTCGTTCACATTGTATCATGACGTTTGTTTTACTGTTACGAATACACAATTTTCCGGTGCAACCTGCTGACTTCTTGCTAAACGAGTGCATTTATGCTCCGTTGAACTGTTTGTTGACTGCTGAACCTGATGGCTGAACCAGTGGGACTAAATCTCTGTGTTTGTGTCAACTGTTGAAAGTCACAATAAATCCCTGTGACCGTTTTTAGCCGTGAATAATTTTCCTACCGTGGAATACATCACGCACGCGGGACCATTTGTGGGAAATTTCGGCAAGGGAATATTTACTCTCACAGCCAGTTACTGCATTTGGATCGGTGTCGTGGACTATTGGATCTACACATTCGTGAGTCCCCATTTGACTACCCATTCCTCTCCTATTTTGATTTTGTGATTTTGTATTGGTTACTTTTGCTTGTTAATTTATCCGAACACGCTGATAAGGTCCTAGTCCGCTTCAAGTCCAACGACCACTGAGTTGCAGCACCAACATCCGTTTGGAGGGCACTGGCATTAGTATTCCCTGGATTTCAAGTAGTCCTGAAAAGGCGGACATGGACCTGAAAGAACGTCTGGAGGGTCGTTGTCGTAGATCAGGAAATAAAAGGGCCCAAAACAGAGACCCCAATGGAGACCGGCGTTGAGCATAGTAGGTCGATTCTACTTTCACAAGGAACGTTATTTCTTATAGGAGCGCCTTAATCCAGCGTAGTATTTCCCCTGCAGTCCCGTAGGACTGTGAATTTTGGAGATGCGGGGCGTATGGGACTCGGTCAAAGGCTTTCGAAAAGTCGAAATACATGGCATCTGATTGAGTTTCTCGTCCTTGACTTGGGTTAGGCTCTCCATAAACACGAGCATGTTCATCAAGTAAGAACGGTTTGGGAGTATTCCGTGTTGAATTGGAGATATCAAGGTGTCGTTGGTAAGGTGACCTAGGGTGGGTCGCCTCAATGTGTTCCATCACCTTGCACAGTAAGCTTGTGGGGCTAATGGGTCTGTGGCTTCCGTACGATAACAGGCAACCAGGTTTGCGGATTATTGTAACAATCGCTTCCTTCAAAGCAGAGGGAAGATGTCTTGTTTGAAGTGGCCAACGAGATACCAGGCACAAATGTTTTGCCAGTGTTAACGACGTTTCTTTCAGGGAAATTAGATAAACCCCGTCTGGCCCCAACGCACTAGAGGCTTATCTTGTGCAGGATTTGACGAATTTCTTCGTCTGTGAAGTCCAAGTTGTTTAGAGGCCGTTGGTACTTATGCCTTGACAAGATTAGACATGACAAGGTTCATGATGTAGAATACAGGCCTGCATAGTTTTATCTGATACCACTATTTGCTCACTCGCGGGTTTTTCGTTCCTGTCCCTCAAGGGGATGCGGTTGGCTTATTTACGCGGCGATGCCTTGTTTACTTATGAAGCACATTTCTGGTTTTCCGGGCGAGGTCTAGAATGGTGGCCTGTTTTTGAATATTTAGCAGAAGACACACGGCAAAATTTAGCTACAGGATTGACATTTCTGCATGTTTTGCGTCCGCGAGGACTCTGTAGACCTCAGCACTTCACATGAACTCTTGAAACCACAGAAGTACCCGTAAATTTCATCCATTTTAGCCGACTCATGTTTTACCCCAGTTCGTGGTATTTTGTTGCATTAGGAACTCTTTTTCGGAAGTTCCGAATAAATAAGCTATATGAAGAAGTTGCAGGAGAACATATTAGGCACAGACATTCAAAAGCTATGACGTGGTCACTTTGAAAACTTTGTGCCTTTCGGGAACTGGGGTCTTTTTGGCGAAAAGCATGCGGCCAGAGGCCGTCAGGCGTTGTTTAAATGATCAAATTACTGACGGAATCCAAACACCAAGGTAGATCACTTGTCCAATATTGTATTAGTAGTGCCTAAACTCCTCCATCTTCGGAATATCAGCGATATATCGGAAGTATTTTAGAAATATTTTAATCCATGTAGTTATGTTGTGCCGATACCTATTTGATTTTGACTCGTCGCGACCGTAGATGTGAACAACGGCGATTTAGGTTTAGTGACAGCCGGACATTATCTATTTTCATAGGCAGATATCCCCCTGACATGTTCTGGTTAACCATAAGCAAGAAGTGTGAATCCCTCTTGCAACTGCGGTCAATCTAGCCAGGACTATCATATCCATTCCGGCTGTTGCATACCAGTTTATCAGACACGAGCCTCATCTAATTGCTACCACGGTCAAAGGTGTCTATACTAAAGTTATCCGCTTCACCAACATTCCACTGGTTCTACCCCCAACGCATGCAAACATACCTCATGTTTGCAGGTGCAACAATCAGCCTGTCGTCATATCGCAGAACATGTAACATAATTCTCCACTTTAAAATTTCCCAAGCAGTCGACAATCGTACAACCCGGCGACTACAAGTGAGCAACTTGTATGTTATACTGGTCTGCTGCGGTACGAAACAACATCATGGGAGATTAGATGGTATGTTTTCGTCGTTCCGACAAAGTAGTTAGTACCTAAAATATACGCGAGTCACTTCTGAATATGTGCTGCTATGCCATTTCGATACACAGAAAGCGATAATGAAGTATGCAGGTTTTCTTCTGCACATTTATGTCCATAAATACCACACCGGAAGTTGGCGAGAGGAGACGCACACACCTGGTGATCCATCGCAGACCTGGCTTGTGCGTCCTTATCGTCATTTATGTAAGCATATTGCCACTACAATTATGCACGTTCTAAATAGCTATAACGTGCCAGGCCGACGAGAAGGTATGAGGGTTTATTCATCTGGATTCCAACGATTCAGTTGAAGACTTCTGAGGACATCTATTCTCTACGCTCTGTTCTACTCTATCCTGCTCCAAGGCCCAGATAAAGTGCTTAGGCAACGGGATCCCTACGTGCAGACACATGAACCACAAAATTTGAACGATCTAGCAGCTTTTAGCATAAGGTTTTACGATTGGCGTCTGTCGTACCGGCATACACAACACGTTTAAATGATTGAATTCAACTCCAACAGTATCAGAATATTTTTTGTTCCCGGTAACAGGCTCTCGTTATGTAAACGTCAATGTTTTGTTGTGTAACAATGCCCGAGCTGTGTAGAAAACAAATATCCGTTGAACCAGCTCTATGCAATAATTAACCAATGGAGCCCACGGCCTGAATATCAACCCACCAGAGGTAGCATGTAGACTAGTTGACTTGCAACTAGGCATATCACTAATATTAATATGACACTAATATAATAATATTAATAGTGAGCAATACCCGTCCTTCCGATTCCTATTCTGACCGAATCGACCATCTGCAAATTTTACAATCTCCATGGGTACACCTCGGGTAGAACCATAATTACAAACAGCACTCAGACCTACGGTTGATATCATGTTTACGGTGTCAGAGGCCTTACCATATCTTGGCGTGAACATAATCGCCTCAGTAGTGTTGCCTGTGGCAAGCCCCTCTATGTGCGACTGAATAATCTGGCATTACCGTTAGTAGCACCCTCTTACGCGTGCGCATCGTTATACACAAACTATGTAGTCATCACTAAACTGCTCATTGATGCTACCGTTCATAGCTCATATGGTGATCCTACTTGCTGCCTTCACTTTAGTCTTCAAAGCAGTTCACTTCCCCCTTTGTCAGTGACTCTAAATGTGAGTAAACATAATCCCAACTACATCACCAGTCTTAGGGTTTGGCATGGGCAATAAGGATGGATGGTGCCAGAATGGAGGCGCAAAGGCAATAACAGCCACATTAGCATGGATGGTAGCTAGTATGTTTAAATTAGCATTGGCGTTGTGCTAACAATCGGTATAAGCAATTAACCGTACTCCAAAGCAAAAGACTGATTTCGATTTTTTAAAATTAAGAGCAACCTTACAGTAACCTTCTCGCTCAGAAATAACATTCAACAAAGCCCAAAATGCATGAACGTTACAAAACTGACGAATCACGTATTAAATATCCCTGCGTGACACTCTGTTTATACGCAGCTACCGTATGATGCACCAGCTTTTGGAGCTCTACTCTCTAAGAAAGACGTTAACTAAAGCAAAAGGCCTGAATTTTAGTGTCATTTGATTGAGTATACCCTCTAAATAGTGATTTTGTAGTTATTGTCGTACACATGCAAAGGCTTGCTACCGAGGTTCATCACCTCGGTAGTTGTTAGACCGCAATTTTACACCTATCAGACTGACTGAGTTAGGTACCTTCTTTTACTGTATCAGCTTCCGGTTTCGTATTCCCTC